GTACACTGTGTGCTGCTCTGCTCTGCGATTCACTGAACACAGGTGTTGCTTATAAAATTTAATTATCCTTAGGTTTCCCTGTAGGGCTGCCAGCCTCCAGGTGGGGCCTGGGGATCTCCCACTTTTACAACTGATCTCCAAATGACAGAGATCAGCTCCCCTGGAGAAAATGGCTGCTTTGGACTCTGTGGCATTGCATTGGGCCATGCTGTGTTCCCTCCCCTTCCCAAACCCCACCCCATTGTGAAACCACCTGATACACTTGGCCCCTTTCTACCTCCTTTCCAAAGCCCCTCCATATCATTGGTTCCCAGTGTTTTTACTTTCTCCTCCTAAATAGCAAAGTTGTATCTTGTCAACACAGGAAACATGGCACCAGTGACTGGGCAGCTTCACTTTTCAGGTAATGCACTGTGGTGAAACCATCCAGTATAGCTCCATCAATCTCTGCTCGCTGCCAGTCTCCCTTTGGCCTCTTTCTGCTTCTCACATTCTCATGTCTCTGTCACTCTGATCTTATTTTTTCTTCTTCTCCTGACCTCTCTGGTGCCCTTTTAAAGGTAGTTTGCTTTAGTAGTTTGACTACCCAGTAATGAGTGACTCCATCCCTTGCCAAGGAACAGGTTCAAGATAAGCCTTGTTTTCTCCAGCATTATGCTCTCAGGCACAGTGGCATCTCTACTGCCCAACTTCTCGGCCAAAATATCAAAATCAAGACAGTCCTGTCCTTCCTTGTTTTCCCCATGCTTCAAGATGAAATGAGAATTCAACTATTTTTGAGGCTGGGAGCTGTATTGGTTGACATTGATCATAAGACTGAAACCCCATGAGCAAACTCATTGAGCAGAATGCTCAGGTTCAAGGAGGTAAAAGTCTGTGGATATTTATTAGAACAGGGAGACAGAATACTTCCAAGGGGGATGCAATGTTAGTCTGTCATAGCAAAATAAAATGAAAGTCCAGTGGCCCCTTAAAGACTAATACATTATTTCAATTATTTCATGAGGCACTGTTGAAGAAGTGAGCTCATTGAAATAAGTGCAGTTGGTCTTTAAGGGGCCACTGGACTCTTGCTTTATTTTGCAACAGAAAGCAAGTGGAAAATTCTGGTGAAGTCAGGATTAATCATAGCCTCATCCATATCCCTATCTACAATCAACTAGGGCTGCCACCCTGTAAGGGAGGAGGGGAATGAGTGGAAGTATCTAATTTACATACAGTTCCATGGGTTCAGACTCAAGGATTTCCCAGTGCCTGTGCATACCACACACTGCCTCTCAGACAACTCTGCTACAGGTTCACCCAGCTGATTCAAAAGTGAGCAGGGTGCAGCTTGCAACAGCTTACAAATGGCAGCACTTGGTGCTATTTGCTTTTGAGTTTGCTGTTCTTGCATTTTTCCTTGTGCACATGCCCCTCTCCCTAGCCAAAGGCTTATCTGCCTCACATAAACACCACCATGCATGCATCGTGTTCTGTGTGGAAGACTTGCTCTCATGCAGAAATGTGAACCTTTCTCCTGGTGAACCCATGAATTCTCCAAAGATGCCTTCTACACACTGATCTATGGACACATTGTCATTAGAATGGCAGTCCTGTGTTGCCCTGCCATTTTCCCTGGCAAAAACATGGCTGCTTTCACACTGCCTGCATTGGTGCTGCCAAGGGATCTAAACCCCTGCCTGTGGGACCACTGGCACCTGCAGCTGCAGATCTCAGTTGCTGGCTTCCTGTCCTCTGAACTATATAACATGAGCTGCCTTACAAAAGATGCTGCAGTGAGGACTCTTTCTGGCAGGATGCTTGTGTAATGTATTGACTTGTATGCATGAACTGCTATGCGAATCACCTAATTGAGATACCATGTTGAGCTTCGCCCTGGGCTAGGATCCTAATGTAACCTATAGGAGCCCTAGCCCAGAATGTGTCTGCCAATCAGCTTGCAGAGCGGGATCGCTCCTGATTGGACATTATTGCTTCAACCTCATAGGTTGCCTTATTGTACAGTGGGTGTGGCTACATTAGCCGGGAGTGTTTAAATATCGACAAGCCAGTGTAAATACTTTGATGGGTTCTGGCTGGCGATTGTTGTACCGTAACGGAGAAGTAACTGAGCTGAAGAATAAACCGCATTCTTGCTGAAATCACTCTCCGACTCTTTGTTAAGCGCACGACTTAACAATTGGCGACGAAGGTGGGATACTAGTGCGGGTAGGCAGCCCCGCTAGAACGAACCCCATGTCGGACAACGAGGAGATCGCCGAGGCCGGCCAGCAACAGGCTCCACCCGCTCTGGTGGCTCCGCCTGTGCGCATAACGATGGCCGCGAGCAGCCAGAAGTTCGAATGCTTCGACCCGACTACTGAAGACTGGGACTCTTACCTTACGAGGTTTGAGTTCCATCTGGAGGCGAATGACATCACGACGGAGGAGAAGAAGAGGGCGACTCTACTCAGCTCGTGTGGAAAGAGCGTTTTTGACATCGCCCGGTCACTGGTGGCACCAGATGACATCAAAACCGTATCCTTTAAAAATGTGACAGACAAGCTGAAATCACATTTCTCTCCACAGCCGTCGGAAATCGCCTGCAGGCACGCTTTTTACAAGCGGGGTCAGAATGCGAACGAGTCCATAGCTGAGTACGTTGCAGCTCTTCGCAAGGCAGCACGGCCTTGCAACTTCGCGAATCTGGAGGAGGCCCTCCGAGATCGCCTCGTCTGTGGTCTGAGAGACGAGAGACTGCAGCAACGCCTGTTCGCAAGAACTACCTTAACGTGGGCCATCGCCTATGCCGAGGCTGTCGCCGCGGAAGCTGCTGACAGATCAACCAGGGAGGTGAGACAACGGGTCGCAACGGCTGATCAACGCGTCCACCAGCAGAGGGCTAGCGACGCAAGCAGCGACTCCGATGACGACGTCTGCGTGGTAAAGGCGGGAGCGTCCAAGCGGACCCAACAGAAACCTTCCGAGGGCTCAGCATGCGTCGGCTGTGGCGGGAAACATCGGCGCGAGCGTTGCTGGGCAAGAGACCTCGACTGCCGGTCATGCGGGAAGCGGGGGCATGTTGCCCGGGTGTGGAGAGCAGCGAACAAGTCGTCTCCTGCATCATCGCCCCGACGGCACCAACGTCCCCGAGCCGCACCGAAAGAAGACAACCGACAGATGACAGGAAGCCTGTCATCGGAAGCCACCATTCTCAGCACAAACAGCCGACAAAAGATCCACGTCACTCTCTGCCTCGACGGCGCGCCGTGCGAGATGGAGGTGGATTCCGGGTCGGCAGTAACCGTTTTGTCGACGCAGACGTGGCACAAGCTGTTTCCAACGCGGAGTCGGCGGAGGTTGCAAGCTGCGGACACCCGCTTGTCCGATTTCCAGGGAAATCGAATTCCTCTGGCAGGGAGGGATTCGTTCACAGTGGAGTTCAAGGGAAAAAGTGCTGTGTTGTCATGTTTAATAGCTGAGGGGAACCGAACCAACCTGCTCGGGTTGGACTGGTTTGACCCTCTGGGTATTGCTGTTGTGGGAGTTAATACTGTTGTGGAAAATAAATGGGCTGTATTAAATCCTTGCCCATTATCATTTAGGTTAGGTTAAGTAAACACTTAGATTGACGTAGATATATGTTTCTTTATATCTGGCTAATCAGAGGATTATTACTCAAATTACCACTGTCTTTTGTAACCAATTATGCTGTTTGAATATTGTCTTCTTGATGATGTCAGTCCATGTATAAAATATCATGTATTTCCTGAATATGTTCAGAACAGGCTCAAGAAGAAGATGAAGAAGAAAAAGAAGAAAGTAGTCCATTTTTGCTTAACTATTTGGTCTAATTGTTTTCCTGTTGATTGACGCATGTTTCCTGATTATGCTGAGAAGAAAGCAGTCAATTTTGATGGGTCCTTTGGCCTAACTGTTTTCCGTATTTCATTACAATAAAATACAAGAACTTCCTCCTCATTTGACTTCATTTTTGACATGGAATCTAATATGTACAACAAAGGGACATGAGGATTAGACCCTGAGACTGGGGGCCACTCCACTCACAAGCTCAGGAGTCTACTGGTGAGGAGTGGGAGATGGATAGAAGAATAAGAGGTTTTTAAACCCTGATTTTCTCTACCTTAAGGACTCTCAATCGCCTTTCCCTTCCTCTTCCCACAACAGGCACCTTGTGAGGTATGTGGGGCTGAGAGAGTTCCGGGAGAAATATAAGAACATAAGAACATAAGAGACACTAATGTTGGATCAGGCCAAAGGCCCATCCAGTCCAACACTCTGTGTCACACAGTGGCCAAAAATACCAGGTGCCATCAGGAAGTCCACTAGTGGGGCCAGGACATTAGAAGCCCTCCCATATACGGTCAGTGCAGGCTGCAAACTAGGCTTCCATTCCAGTGGCGTCTCTTTTTATCTATTTATTTAAAAGCCTTATTGCCCACCTTTCCCCCGATCAAATGTACTCCTAGACTCTGCAATGCAATGCCATGCAGAAACGTTGCAGGAACACAAGAAATTCTTCCTGATCTCTAAAGGTTCATCTAATGCAATGTTCTGGTTCCAACAATGTTCAGCTATGAAGCTTTTCCTGGTAACCCTGAGAAGTTAAGGTGGAAGACATGAAAAAAAATAGCCTTCCTCTGCTATTTAACATCTGGTGCTCAAATGTTCTGGTTCTGAATAGGAAGAGTGGGTTTTCAGTTATTAACAGACTTGTCTTCTTTAAATGTGCATAATCCTTTTTTAAAAAGGATCTGCGAACATAGAACCAACTCCTGTGGTTGGTTCCTATGCTGTACCAGTCACATATGACTATTATGCATTACATGGTTACCTTCCAAACTAGGGAAGATGCTGCCATAGGAGGCAGTCCTGTTGTGTGAAATATCTGTAATGACTGAGGCAGCATATGGAAACAATCACAGGAGAGCAGACAGATGGCTAGCCATGCCATGCAGCCAAAACCATCCAACACCAGCAAGCTAGTCACTCATACCTCAACAGCAAAGCTGCATGAAACAAAGCATTTGAGGGAGACGGACCTTGTAACCTTTTGATGCTGCTATATGGGCTGCAGTCCAGCCTTCTTTGTCAGCGTGGTTGATGAGATCCGCAGAAACAACTGGGTTTGCAGTATGGCTCAGGCTCTCTTCTTCGCACTCCAAGTCGAAGATGCAGGAATCAGCATCTGCTTTATTCACAAAGTTTCCACTTCCTGGCATTCTGTAGTACATAAGAAGTCTTAAACAGTCAACATGACCGGCATCCACAGCTGCGTGAAATGGAGTCCAGCCATCCTATTGAGATGTCAAAAAAAGAAAAGAGCTTGACACAATTGAATAGGGATGAATGGATAGTTACAAAATTTATGGGTTGCTGCATAACTTGCTGTCTAAAAACTATCTGAAGCACACAACAGTGTCTGGCTATAAATGTTGTAGAAAGACCGTCCATCTGTTGTCTCTGTGCAAGTTTACAATGAAAAAAGGGGTCCAAAAGTACCATCTTCCTTTGAAGAGCATCTGTTGAAGTCACAGCTTCTCAGATAAGAAGGTCCACCCAGAAAACACATGAATAGAGCAAAATTAGTTTAATCAATCCCTTGCAAAGGATGCTTGTTGCTCTAGGAGATTGATCATAAAATTACCCGGATATAGAAGGCGATATAAACATTACTGCATCTCTGTCAGATGCCTAATCTCTTTATGAGCAGTTCTGTATAGCTTTACAGAGTACGTTTCTCCACCCTGGCTCTATGCAGTGTTAAAGTCTTCTCTACATTAGCATAACAAAGCAAACACAGCTGCTCTGGGAAAAAGCATTTTTCTATCCTTAATTCTCCTTTTGAAGTACTTATTTTAAACTAGGAAAAAGGCCTGTTGTGGAAATAAATACAACGACCTCTAGAAAGAGGCTCTGGGCGGGGGTCCTGGCCTTGGACACTCAGTGTCAATTTGCTGTGGCAACCTCAGCAGGGTATGATGACACGGAGTCCACCATTTTCTCCAGAGCAACTGATCTCTGCTACCTAAAGAACAGTTGTAATTTTGACTGATCTCCAGCCCTCACCTGGAGATTGGACACATTTTACCTCAGAACAGCAAACTGTTTAGAATGTTAGAGGCAAAAGCCAATCAAGTCACATATGCAAACGTCCTCTGTGTTCCGAGGCAAAGGCCAATGAGGCTGCATATGCAAATAACCTCTGTGCTCTGACTGGCTATGGTGGGGAGAGGAACAGCAAACTGTTTAGAATGTTAGAGGCAAAAGCCAATCAAGTCACATATGCAAACGTCCTCTGTGTTCCGAGGCAAAGGCCAATGAGGCTGCATATGCAAATAACCTCTGTGCTCTGACTGGCTATGGTGGGGAGAGGAACAGCAAACTGTTTAGAATGTTAGAGGCAAAAGCCAATCAAGTCACATATGCAAACGTCCTCTGTGTTCCGAGGCAAAGGCCAATGAGGCTGCATATGCAAATAACCTCTGTGCTCTGACTGGCTATGGTGGGGAGAGGAACAGCAAACTGTTTAGAATGTTGGAAGCGAGACTCAAGCAATGCAGCCAGTGGATAGGGACAGATTCTGAGTGACACACCAGAGCGCCAACCAATTCCGGAGCGTGTGGAATGTTCTAGAGAAGTGCCACCACCATTCGGCTTTTATATATAAGGGAGATAGGCAACATCTCAATTTATCTCTTTTTCTTTGTTGTTATTATTTTTCCCCAAGTTATCATTACTCTTTGAGTTGACTGTACCAGGGCTTTTCATTTAAAGGACAAATTATTGACATTACGTCCTGTATTTTTGAGTATTCCTTACAAGAAGGGAGGGGAAAGCCACAGCCATACTTCCATACATATCAACAATCTAATACTAGTTCTCTCTCCAACCCCAACCCGTCAATTTGCCAACAGTATTTTTCCTGCTGGGAAGTCAATGATTAATTCTAAATACAGAAGAAAAGGGAAGGACCGCTTTGGGATGAAAAAAATATCTCTATGAAACCAACTCTCAGTCAGGGCAAAAAAATTATGGAATTCCCTCCCCAGGGAAATTTGTCTGACTCTTCTTGGTCTTCCACCAGCAGATGTTTTTCTCCCCAGGCCATCCCTCACTGAACCTCACTGACCTTTCCTCCTGTTCATGTGTTTATTTGTTATTGCGTCCTGTTTTAATTGTTTCAATTGTTTTATATATTAATATGTGTTTTTTAACCATATTGTAATGTTTTGATTGTTTGCCATCTTGGGGACTCAAAGTTTGGTGGAAAGGCGGCTTTAAGATGTTTTAAATAAAATGAAATAAGAATTCTTCATGGTCTTGGACTCAGGGTTAAGGAAAGAAGTTTATGTGTACAAGTATCCTCAGGCTTTAACACTTTTGCAGCCATATTTCCCCCCCAAAATTATTGTGGCAGCTTCACAATGGTATAATTATTATTTGTTGTGGGTTAAATAAGAGCATGAATTTTCAGGATTCTGAAATAAAATAAAATAAAATCCACAATCCTCACAAAAGTACCAATACCTTACATGTAGCATGCACGTAACCATTGACTAGAGAGCATTTCTGGTTGTTCCATGGGCAGTATGTAAAAAGCAAGCTCCAAGAATCTATTAATAATTTGTGGTGCTCCTGGAGAAGAGTGTTTCACTAGCCTGCACATGACATACAGTTTAGCTGGCCACCCTGTGATGTGTCTACTACCAGGTTAGTAGACCAGAGGGTCAATCATCCTAAACCGCAGAAGAATCTCTGCATGCATAATGTGCACAACAGTGGATGTCTGGATATGATTCATGGGACATCTTGCCAAAGCAGTTGGCCATCACTGGTAAGTGATTCCTAGGGCAGACGGGGAAGGTAAAATATCCCAGGAACAAGCCAGGTTGAGTAGCCTCTGCAATGGTATAAGCCACCACTGTAGGGTCACTCAGCTAAGACCTTGCCAGTGATACCCAACAATGGGCACTTGTTTGCTTTACCCAGTGGCAATGGGAAAGCTGACGCCCCCATCATTAGCACTGCTGGCTATGTCTGAGCTGAGTGGCCCCTGCAGAGCTGGCAGATCTATATGGGCTTGGCTCTATTTTCTCCTGGCTGCCAGCAGCCTTCCAGGACAGTGGCTCACTGGGAACTTTCCCTCTAAATTAAATGGCCAGTCCACCCCTAGACATTCTCAGCAAAAGGGCAACAACTACCTATTATATTAGTTACCACTTATTGGCAACTTCTGTAATTTCCATATGCCTTTTCTGAAATAATACACAGAGTTAGCAATGATCATACCCAAGATCAAGAATATATCTTGACAAATTTCCTTATTTGCTTAATATTGCTTCTACATGCCTCTAACATGGCCATATCTCTTAGCAATTTCTTTTCAACCCTGAAGAACCCAGGGCTACATTGTGACTTTCGTGGGCTCTAGGCTCTTTTGCCTTCATGGGTCCCTCTCACTAGGGTTGCCGGGTCCCCCCTGGCCACTGGTGGGGTGGGGTAGGGTTATTGGATCCAGGTTGGGGAACTCCTGGAGATTTGGGGGCAGAGCCTGGGAAGGACAGGGACCTCAGTGGTGTACAATGCCACAGAGTCCACCCTCCAAAGTATCCTTTTTCTCCAGGGGAACTGATCTCTGTGGTCTGGAGATGAACTGCAATTCCAGAGGATCCCCAGGCTCGCATCCCTACCTCTCACCATAATAATTTCTATATTAAAAATTATTTTTGATATAACTTTAAATACTTCAACATTTTATTTTTTTCTGTTTTAAGAACAATTTAATAGATCTTCATGGGCCCTAAAAAAAAAATTCTGATGTGAGAAAAATTTAAAACATGTTCAACCCTAAAAGTTCATTTTTTCCTTCTGATTTTAAAAGAAATTAAAAATTTTGTGAGCGCCTATAAATACTGTGAGCCCTAGGTACCATGCCTACTGTGCCTAATGGATAAGTCAGCCCTGGAAGAACCCTCTCTTTGCTCTCATACTGTTCAATGGCTGGTCCCTTGAGAAGTCCAGCGGCATCACAGACAGACAAAAGCAATTTTCTAATAATCAAAAAATTCAAGGCTTGGCATCAGAGACAACAAAGGTCTCTATCAAAGTTGTTAAAATGAAACACGGGAGGTCACAGGATCGAGCTGTAAGTAATGGCCCTTCAAATTCTATGTGAAAGGTAGGATGACAGGAAAGAGAATGATTTTGGAAATCTCAGGGAGGAAATGTGTAATTTAATACAGCTGCAGACATTTCACGATGGCATACAAAAGTAAAACTTGGCAATTCCGAAGAATGTTATGCATTAGGGCACTTAGGAGTATTAATGAAAGTCTCAGTACAAACCATTTTGAAGAAGCTCACTTCTGTCTTCTGAAATGCTGACTTTGAGAAATGGGCTTTAAAACTTACGCAGGTTTTTGCACTTCTGTTGGCTCCAGCCTCCAGCAAGAGTTTGACACATTCGTCATTTCCATTTTCACAGGCCAAGTACAGAGGTGTCTCTCCCCTTTCAGCAGCATGATTAATGTCGGCATGATACATGACTAATAATTCTGCACATCTGGGAGGGGGGAGAGACATTGGGCAACACATTAGAACACTTGATCCTGGCAAAGACATAACCTTTAAAATGGCACTCAGCTACAACAGATTCTTCCAACACATTTTCATTTAAACTGTATCAAACAAAAGCACTGATGAGAGACCCATATCAGTCCACTAGATCGTTTCTATGGATGGATTACTGCCCATAGACCACAATTTCCTCACCTTCTCACTCCTGCTGCTCCTGAGAAACTACTCCTGGGGATAGGGGACCCCTAGGAACAGCATAGGGGCATTTGGGGTTGGAACAGGAGACTGTAGGTGAGAGAGTTGAGCTGGTGGCAAATTGGCAATCTTTCCATCCTCCAGTGAATCTAAGCCACTCTATGGTACAGAGGTACTACAAGTAGCCAAACTTTCTAGCATAGTTAGTTAGAGATACTTAAAGGAGAGAGAGAAAGAGAAGAAATGTAGTGTTGGAGGTACACAAGCACTAGGCTCCTTCAAAGTGGGAGGGAAGAAGGGGAGGAAGTGTGAACAGGGGCAGGCTAGATTAACATGAAACAGAGATAGGGCAAAAGCTACAAGAAAATTTCAGTATTATGTATTGGGATGGAGTGGACACATACAAGTTTACAGCCATAAGAAAGCATACCGGTCTCCAAATGACGGGAAAAGGACATCATACCACTATCCAAGAAAAAAGAGAGAACAAAAATACACTGACATAATCAAATCATCACTAAAATATGGATCCTTGTGGCACTATTAGACTAGCAGTGCAACCCTATGCAAAGATACTCCACTCTAAATCCATTCATTTCAGTGTGCTTGGTGGTGGAAAGTGCCATCAAGTCAGAGCTGACTTATGGAGACCCCATAGGGTTTTTAAGCAAAAGACATTCTGAGGTGGTTTTCCATTGCCTGCCTCTGTGTAGCAATCTAGGACTTTCTTGGTGGTCTCCCATCCAAATACTAACCAGGGCTGACCCTACTTAGCTTCTGAGATCTGACGAGATTGGGCTATCCTGGGCCATTCAGGATAGGACTTAAGTGTGTTTAGACTAGAGTTAATTCTGCCTGAAATTATACCGTAATTCTGTTCAGGGGTTTAATGACCAAACAGATCCTAAGATTATCAGAAAAGAGCAGATATCAGCTCTGTTTTCTACCAATCTTTAATGACTAGGTGACAGGGAAATTTATTGAACAAGAAACCTAAAGTGCTCAGCAGATCAGAAAGCCATTTACAGAGTCACTTGGTGCCTCTCACAATAGCGTATGCAAACACATTCCACTTCTCTATTCCATGGCTCCTCCATATCATGATTAAATAGCCCCAATTTGGCATGTAAGGAAAAAAATGTGGAGAAGGGAATTAAGGAGCATTAGAAAAAAATCACTGGGTGAGGGAGGCACCCACATAAATGACCTCAAGCTCTGCTGCAATGCAGGTCCATAAATAACTGAATGTTGACAGTCAGCTGTGCAGATCCATAATCCTACTGTAAATAGACTACTCCTATTTTTCTTTGTAAAAAGAAAGAGAATCATTAAGGTGAAGCAACCCACTATCACAACAATTTGTTTACAAGTCTAATATAAACTTAAAAATTAATTTTCCACGTTAGGTTTGACTTGTTAGAACTAAAACTCACCGATTTTAATAGGTCTAAATATATATTTGACTGATAGCAATAGAATTTTACTCTTGAGTAATCTGGCAGAGGACCAATACTGGCAAGTTGCAACTGCACAACCAAAAAGGAGGATACTTTGACCCCAGATACCAACCAGTGGAAAAAGGTCTGCTGATAGGTTTCTCTTTACTAACAAAAAGAAGATCATTTTCTCTGGGTTTGAAGGGGTGGTTATTGAAGGTTTATGCACCATTTTGTGTAAACATATCAGGGAGCTGAGGTTGGAGGATGAATATAAACAAAAATTATTGCAGATAGTGGTGCAATACTTCACATAAGACGCATAATAAACTTGTTTGGGCCTCAGAAAACAACCAACAAATCACTAGCAGCTTCCCATGTTATGATCTCCATTCATGGATGAGACTCCACTGAAGAGAAGACTTCCTTTGGAAATAGGTGAGCCTAACAGTCACACTCCCATTCTCTTGCCACCAGGCACAGGGCTAATGTTACCATTTTCAACATGGGAAGCTATTGGAAGTAATGAATGAAAATAACAGGAAATAGAAATAGCATCAAATGGCAACAGAATTTTACTAGAACATCCTCAGACCACCTAAGGTCGCAAATGTAAGTATCCTTTTTTTGAAAAAAAGTCCCTCTGAAATCCATAGAGTTTACTTCCAAGTAATTCAGCAACATCTTGCTAAGTCAAGCTATAAAACAATGTCTACTTAGTGCCTTTTCCCCTTTTTCAGGCATGAATGTTCTCAGGCAACCAACATAAATCTTAGGACACAATGGAAAAATGAGGTGGACCGTGGATCACACCGTATACTTGAGGTTAATTAAAATGTTTTTGTCACTTTTAGAGAAGTCCCACACTGAATGAACTTTAAAACTTTTTGGGGACTGATTTTAAATTTCCTGAGCTTACCAAAAAATGAAGAAGGAAAAAAAGCCCTGCCAAGGTGAAATCCAGTACCCAGCATCTTACAAGAAGCCAGTCAGCTTCTCAGAATTGTAAATACTGCTTCAAAATACTGGGATATCAGACCCACAAAACCTTCTATGATTATATTCCGTCTTCCCATGACTGTGTTATACGGGACATCCTAGTTTCCTGACATAATATAATCCAATTGAAGGGGTTTTTTTAAACAGGAAGACCACTTTTGAAGGATCAAATTCAAAAATATCTATGAATGCAGTTTCCCATCCTCTGCCAGTAACTGCACATGCTTTTCATTGAATCTTAGATTGCATGCTCCAAGAAATGTTTGATGAGGCTTTGAGCAAAAATTGGACCATAAATCAGTTCAAATCCCTAATTTAGAGATGTGTTTGAAGAAAGCAAGACACACAAACCCCAGTTTGGCTTTAAAAATACTAAAACTTGAAAAGCACAAACACAGGAGAATACAGTCTAATGTGTGCACGTGAAAATAGATTTTTTAATGTAAGATTTCTCTGCAATACAACAAGAGAATTCAACGCACAAATTAGAAACAGTCAGATGCCATCACTAAAAGAATAACTCGCACAATAAAGAAATACTGAAGCTTTTGGAAGAAAGGGGTGGGAATCTCTTATAGAAACTACAGCTCTGAAGAAATGAAGCTCTCTCTTACATTGGTTCATCTAGCTAGTATTGTCTACTCAGATTGGCAATGGCTGTCCAACTTCTTAGGTAGTGAAGGGCCTCAAGGTTCTTTAATCAGAGATGCCAGAGATTGATTCTGGACCTTTCACGTGCAAAGCATATGGCCTAGCACTAAGCCCCCCTCAACCAATATACACAAGCAGGCATTTTCATGAAGGGGGCGAGAGCTCCAAACACACTGCAGAAACTTGAGGGTGGGGGGAGACTGTTCCAAAGTTTTACCAACACCAATTTCTGTTCAAGCAAAAGAGAACACAGGTGATGAAAACACATTCCTGTGGGCCTTAGATTGCACAAACTCATCCTAAGAGGTTACATACTGCCAAGTTTAATACTTAAGGAACAGAAGTAGATTTGCTCTGGAAATATAAGCAAACAGATCACTTACTTGCAGTGTCCCTGAGCAACTGCTGAACACAAGGGCGTAAAGCCATTTTTATCAACAGGATCAACTTGTGCTTCTGAAGTCAGCAGCAATCTTACACAATCTATGAGGTGGAAAACCCAAAGGCAGAATGATACACAACAAAGGGAAAAAGTAGTTTAAAAAAATGAAATTTCTTAACTTTAGATAGAATACAAATTAACATTTTTCACCCATTTAGCAAATCATTCTACAATAACTGACAAGCCATCTACAGTCTTTTGAGGAAACATGCTTATTGCTAACTAAGAATAAGGCTTGTTGTGGAAATAAATACGAGCTCTAGAAAGAGGCTCTCAGAGAGTGCCCCAGCCTTGGGCACTCAGCGTCAATTTGATGTGGTGACCTCAGCAGGGTATAATGACACAGAGTCCACAATTTTCTGCAGAGGAACTGATCTCTGCTACCTGAAGAAGAGTTGTAATTTTGAGTGATCTCCAGCCCCCACCTGGAGACTGGCAACAATGGTCCCCCAGATTGGCTACAATAGTTCCCCAGGAGGAAATGGCTGGTTTGGAGGGTGGAGTCTATGGCATTGTACCTATCTGAGGTCCCACACCTCCTCAAACCCCACCCTCTCCAGGCTCCACCCCTCAAGTCTCCAGGAATTTCCTAATCTGGAGTTGGCAACTCTATCTCCTTTCCAGCCAAGCATCAACCTGCTGTTATCTGCCCCTCACTCTTCAGCTTTCTGTCTCCCCCACACACACACCAGCAGCCTCTATTGTGCTCTGAAGCCCTGACTGCTACGTCACATTGGCTGTCACAGGAGAGCCATCTCAGCAGGGTATAAGGACACAGAGTCCACCTTTTTTTCCAGGGGAACTGATCTCTGCCATCTGGAGAGCAGTTGTAATCCTGAGTGATCTCCAGACCTCACCTGGAGATTAGCAACAATGGTTCCCCAGGAGAAAAAGTACAGTTTTTCTCTGCAATGGGGACCAAAGCAGCTTACATCATTCTCTTCTCCCCCTTTTGACCTGCACGACAACTCTGTGAGGTAGGTTAGGCTGAAAGTCTGTGACTGGTCCAAAATTACCCATTCAGCTTCCACAGCAAGTACCTGGGTCTAGCAGACTGTGCTCGAAAGCACTGACTGCTATGCCTAGGGTAGCCAACCTCCAGGTGGAACCCAAAGATCAACCGGTATCATAGACTCTACCATAAAATCTCCAGGAATTTCCCTAACTGGAGTTGACAACCCTAGTCAGGACTGGCCCCAATGAGTTTTCTCCCAAAGGCCAAAATAGGCGTGGAAAGGGCCTTTTACTGACAGAACCAAGCTTGGTTGCCTAGCAAAAGGCACTGAGAGGAAAGTAGGGTTGCCAGCTCTGAGTAGGGAAATATCTGGAGAGTTGGGGGATGGATCCTGTGGAGGGCAGCGTTTGGGGAGAGGAAGGACTCAGCAGGGTATAATGCCATAGGAGAACTGATCTCTGCCTGGCAGACCCTGCTCTGAAGTGCTAACCGCTATGCCTAGGGAAGCCAACCTCCAGGTGGAGCCTGGAGATCGCTGGGTATCACAACTGAACTTTAGACAACAGATCTCTCCCCCCCCCCCGGAGAAAATAGCTGCTTTGGACGGTGGGCTCTAAGGCATTTTGTTCAGCTGAGGCCTCTCCCATCCCCAAACTCTGGCTTCCTTAGACAGAGAATATCTAGGACTTTGCCAACCTGGAGCTGAGAATCCTAGTCAGGACGGGCCCCAATGAGTTCCTCACAAAGGCCTGGAAAGGGTTTCCTTCTACCAGCAGCCACGGAGGGAAAAATTAGTCCCACAGAGGAGCCAAGCAGGAGACGTGTCTTCATTGGGAGAGACAGCCGTTTGCCAAGAATTCTGACAGGGAATAGTGGCTGAGGTGGGAGTGGACGCGGAAGAGGAGCAGACCCAGCACCTGGCCAATGGCACATGAGTACTCTTGAGTGGCAGCTGACAGGCCAATGGCTGATGGAGCACATTGCACAGCCATTGGGAGAGGTGGAAAGTGCCACTCTACTATTCAATTATATATAAGGAGAGACTAGCATCTCCCAGAGGAATCACCAAAGATTTTCTGATTTTGTCTTTCCAGTTACTCCCTATCCCCTAAACTAATGTGAAGGACCCATTATCATTTCTCACCAGTGCTGAAATACAAAGGCCTACTCTCAATGCAGTAGCTTAGAACCAAGCAGTACAGTCCATTTAACAAGACAGCATTATCCTGCCATTTCTACTAGGCTCATTGAATGTAACTTCAAAACAAACCCGTGGGTGAGTTTTGGAGCAGAAAAAAGGCTAGTTACAAATGCCACAGAAGGACACTATTTTTTTTTATTTTTCCCCATATAAAATAGTTCCTGACAATAAAGCAACCTAGTATATCAGGGAGAAAGATTCTAGCCCTACCTATTTCTCATTAAACTAGATTTAATCTTGTGGGGAGTTTTTAAAGCAAGGAGTATTAAAATATGAACCCTTTGCTGTAGTCTGAAGTGGTATAGACCCTTCTACCATGCTCAGAACTCTGCTATCTTCTTCTTCTGTATGCCCAGATGATCCCGTACTGACTTACTCTAGGCCACCAAGGAAATTTTGTATATAAGCGGAGATTGAGTCTGAGTCCAGTGCTGTAATAACTACTGTTCATTGGCATTAAAAAGATATAGCATTCATTACTAATATCCTTTATTATTTTGAGAACAAATCCAACTCGTTGTGACAGTCCAGTGACAGGCAATTAACCTTTTTTTTAATGTACCACATATTCACCTAAGCTTGCTGCGGTAGTCATTATGCACAAGCAGTAACAGCTATTTCATTTTCAAGCCAAATAATCTCAGCTTTAGATGGAGCAATTTGCCTTCCTTCCACTCCTCTGCATACACAAGTGGTATGTATACATACATAACATGTGATCAACATTATTTGGAGAGGCAAGCTTTTATTTGCTCAGATGGATTGTTTTGAACTTTCTGATTGCCGCTTTGATATTAATAAAAATATTTTTCCACATCATTGCAGAATTCAAGTTCAAGTGAATACCAGTAGGCATTACATAAATAAGTAGGCACTACATTAACTATATAAAAATACAAGCAGAAGGGCTTGGAGGAATTGCAGGGAGTAAACAATTTGAAAATTCTCATCCCCCATCTCCTGTTCAGGGTTCTAAGCTGTCAGATGCTTGAGCAGTCATTTCCCCTGTCTCCTTCAGGCTTTTTTCCTTTAACTGATTCTCAACTGCTCCCAACGTCCTGTGCCTCCTGAAGCACTCTGGGTCCTCATCAGGCTGTTTGGTTTTTCCTTCTTTGTTTGGTTAATTAACAAAGTTTACGTATACCTGTGGAATCTTGGGTGAGTCACAAGCTCTGGCACAGCTGTTCCTGAAGGAGCAGTTTGTGTCAGAGTTCTCTCAGCCCCACCCACCTCACAGGGTGTCTGTTGTGGGGAGGGGAAGGGAAAGGAGTTTGTAAGCCACTCTGAGACTCCAAGTGAAGGGCGGGGTATAAATCCAATCCTTCTTCTTCTTCTTCTTCTTGAGTAGGGTGAAAACCCAACCTTGTCTACAGATGGCCTGGTTCTGTGACTGGAACAAACTGCTCACTTTACTTTTCGATACAGTAGTATACACAGGGGTAATAATGTAATAGCTGTGACAAATCTCATACCTGTATGTCCATTCATAGCAGCAGAATACAAGGCAGAATAGCCATCTTCACAGGAGTCATTAATGTCCAGACCTTCTTCATTAAGCAGCATTGACAATAAAGTGACATTTCCCTGGGCAGCAGCTTGGTGAAGAAGGGTGGGCCTGCCACCCAGGGGGACAGGACCACCGCTCATTAATAAAGGGGTTAGGGAGGGAGACCAGCCTGTGAGTTAAAGCAACACAAATTAGAAAGAACACACATAAATAAGTTAAAGCTGAACACTCTGTAAGCTCTTAAGTCCAACATGAGAAACAGATTCTTTTGTCATTTCAGCACCTGAAAAGATTGAGCAGCACAACTCTGATCATGCTATTCAAGAGCCACTGGGTAGTAGTAAGAGCGCTGGACAAGGGACACACAAATTCAAATCCCCACTCTGCCATGAAGCTCGCTTGGTGAGTGTGGGCCTAACCTCCCTCACAGGGCCTCTTAGCTTAACTTTTCTGGTGTGGTTATTGTGAGAATAAAATGTAGTAGGGATAATGGCACATGCTACTCCGAGCTCCTTGGAAGAAGGACAGGATAAAAATGTACTGAATATTAATAATTTTGTCCAAAGAGGAAGTAAAGTTACACACAAAGGTGATGCTATATTAACTAAAAACTCATCTTTTATTATTGCAGATTAATATAAGTTAGCCCTCATGAGCCTTTCTACCAGTTGTCACTATCCAGATTTTTAAAATCTATTTTTAACTCAAACCAAGTTTAGTGAAAACCTACAGTTATTTTGGCCCTAAAGCTAGCTAAAATAGGGTTTGTGGCAAATTTCCATAGGAGTGTGTCCCTTTTTAACATCTGCAAACTGAATGCTTTGTCAGTGTATTAAATCTACAGCATATATGACTGACATTTAAATTGAAAGTGCGTTTAAAACACAGTCAGACACACTGCAATCTATGCCCACTTGCTGCTCAGCAATACCTAGCTTTGCAGTACTGCAAATCCTGTTATGTTTAAAAGGAAGTGCTCATGTACAGAGATTAGTGAATTAATTCAAAATTACTGGCAAAAGCTCCCACACTGTACAGTCAGAAAGGTAATGGGCAGAACAGCGCTATAGAAATCTTTGCAGTTATCTTGGTTAGACACTCCAGGTATCAGACATTAGCAGCTTTAGAGGAGAGCTTATTAAGGACATGAAGTCTGCTGTACAGGGTGCGGAAGACTTTGTGAACTGTTCCTTGATCAAAAGGCTGCAAAAGGGGGAAAAATAATAATAAAAGGATTGAAAACAGAAAGACTTGCAACTGAGGACAGCCCAGTGAAAATGCGAAGTTCCAAAGGCATTTTCACGCCTTAAAGCAATGATATTCATATAATATCTGCTTATACTGAATGAAGGAAATGGATTTTTAAAAGTATGGCACAGTGTGGACTGATATTTTAAATTGTAATTTATCATTTTTAAAGTACAAACTATTTTACTTCATCTCATTATTCATTATTTATCCAAGTTGAACTAGGCAAAGAAATGTTTCTCAAAAATGTAGAAAGCTGCCATGCCCTTAATAAAAGATTAGTGAAGTGACAAGTAAATATCACAGTATCTCATTAAAGATGGCACACTGAATGCTGGCAGGCATTTCTCATTATAAACAGAGGTGAGTTTTTTTATTGCATAGAAAATAAACAGACTACAGAGATAGCACCAGCAGGCCAAGCTCCAGAGAGGCCGCAGCAGTTGCTGGTTCTGAGAGATTATTAATTGGGCAGATAGTAGGTGGACCTAAAGAAAGGTTTGAAATGACTGAAGGCAAGTGCAAAGCTCATTAAAGAAGCAGAAGGTGCGGTCAGAGAGCAAAAGAAGATGAGGGCATAAAGAAGAAAAGTGGAGCAGGCCCTAGGACATTTGGTACCAGGCAGGTGCAGGCAGGTGCAGGCAGGAATCCCACACCACCCCTGGCATCCCTGGAAGCTTTGTGGATGGGACAAGCGACAGAAGTGATGTCTCTCTACAAGTCAGTGTCACTTCCAAGAAAAAACCCAGGTACAACATCGGCGTATCAGTCAACATTCTAGAAACACTATGCTAAAGGTTCGGCTGATGTGTTGGTGTGATACCTGGTTTTTTTGCCTGGATGTGACGTAGAACAGTGTCATTTCTGCCCCATCCCATTCTCCCAACCCACTCCAGAGGTGCTGCACAAATGCTAAGTTTCATTAAGTCTCACGGGGCTCAGCAATAGGGCTGTCAACCTCCAGGTGGAATCTGGAGTTCTCCTGGGATTAAAGCTAGTCTTCGCACTGCAGAGATCTGTTCCCCTGGAGAAAATGGCAGCTTTGGAGGGCGGACTCTATGGTATCACATCCCTGCTGAGCATCCTCCTTTCCCCAATTTCTACCCTCCTCAGGCTTCACCTCCAAGTCTCCAGAAATTTCCCAACTCAGAGCTGGCAATCCTCCTCGGCAGACTCCCCATGTCAGTGTATTGTAGGACCACATCACGAAGCCGTCTTCCTGAGTGAGAGCTGGCCAGTCTGCGGCTACATAAATGGAATTGTTTTATCCAGCCTTTTCTTTCTCTGCATTTTTGAAAGCTGATTTTTCATTGAGTGGGTGGGAGGCAGGGGAACAATGGACTTTCAGCTCTATTTACCACTTGTTTAGGAATTTTAGCAAACCAACTATGGGATGCCAGTTGTGTTTGCGATTCAGATGGGTGTGACAAGGAAGGCGGAGGAAAGTGGAGACATTGCAACTGGGCATGAAAACAGGCAGTGCCATTTTGAGAATGAGGTTTATGCAAATTCCATTTTATTTTTAAACTTGAGTAGTCTTTCTTTTAAACTATAAAAATATTTACAGTGCAATCCTAAGTACAGTTACCTACTACTACGTAGGTAACTGTACTAGGGTGTAACACTGCTTAACACTGCACTCATTAATAAAGTATGTTTATCATGTGTTACAATAGATTGGGATACTGGGTTGGATCTATAGTCGTATTCTGTACATGGAGTGGCCCTTTTGCAAGTGAAAATAAGGGTTGATCTTCACGGATTCCCACCTGCCACAGGAGACACCCCCCTCCGGTCACACCCTACAGTCCTCTGACCCCAGCAGCATTTTTGGAAACACAAAGGACTGCAGAGAATGGAGGTGGAAACTGTCTCTCCTTCAGAACTCCTTTGGCTCTAACCCCATGTTAATATTTCATTCACGTTCCAGAACAGTATAGGTTTCCTCTTCTTTATGAACCGCTTTACAAATTAACAGAGCCCATGGATGGAAAGCACTTCCATGTCAGAAAGAGCAAATGAAACCCACGGGTACCTTACTGGAAGTGACGATCTCACACACACATATACATCACTGCATACAAGAGTGCTGGAAATTAGGGACTAATGTATAAAGTGGCATCATGAGGACCAAGAGCAAGCTTGACATAAAATACAGCATGTACAAATCAAGTCATAACAGAGGCAAATTTAATATGCATATACCAATGATTAAAATGTAATGCGGAATATGAACCCATTTCAAAGATCTCCCAAAGGAAACAGAACAGATTTGTATTCAGTCAATGAAACTGCATGAGAAAATCAGGAAACATGAGGAAGCTTTGTGGTTTTTATATGCAAAAGTTAGCAAATACAAAGCATCTATGAAAGCGTGCTGGACATGCATTAATGAAGGATGGAAGGACAGGGGGAAAAACAGCTTCTGGCATCAGCTTCAGATTGTGGAGATGGTTAATTTCAGAGTCCATTACCAACCTCTCCTGCATCCCATTCACTTTAGAAGCAAACCACATACAAAAGATAAAATTATATATGAAGGAACCAAATAAAAACATACTGATTGAAAAGTGATGCTTAAAAAAGAGAAAGAGAGCAAATCTTAGAAGAAAAAGAAAGAGTACTGCCAAGGGTACGGGAAATTCAATTGTTTTAGAACTGTTCCTCTAGACTGTAAACCTTTCATTGGCTTTGAAAGCTGAAGCAGGAAACAAAAGCTGTCAGCCAAGCAACTTGCCTATAAGTAGTCAACCCATGGCTCTCAGTTGTCTGGATATGCAAATCTTGAATGTCTCAAGCTCCTATTTTATGTATATACGTATGCCAATAAAGGCTTGTCAAAGTCAAAGAATGTCTCAAGATGGGTAAAGTGTGTTGAAGCTAGAGGGATTTTATCTGGGTTTTCAAACACGGAGCCTAGTCTTAGCACTCTCCTGGTCTGTGACAGCAGTCAGCATTTGCATTTGAATGACATCATAAACAGATTCAGAGCCGGTTCGCACATGCAACAGTGCTTTTGGATTTCCTCCATGGGACCATTCTCGGCTTGCACATGCCTGTAACTATGCAGAAATTCTGTGTTACTCAGAATTACCCATGCAGACGGCTATCAGGGAAGGAGAATCTTGTCAGTGGAGTGAAGTCTGGGCTGTGAGTTGGTCTCCCTTCCTGTTACATGGGCATGGTTAGATGCCTTTGGGCAAGAGCCAAAGGACTACTGGACCTTAGTTCTTAGCCCCTGGTTCACAGGCTGTGGCCTTACAAGAGTCAAGCTAGTGATTCCAAGGACTGGCCCAGGATGTTGACATTGTATACAGTTTTAAAATATGGTGAATTACTATGGTCCTCATCCATTATAACTTGTTGCTTCCATAGCTATGAATCCACATGATTCTGAGTCACACACATTTTCCCAGTGGTTGTGGGCATGAGTGAAGCGGATCAGTTGGAGAGGATCCTGCAGTGCTGCTACTCGGATGACCTGGCATCTCTGGCCAAAGCATGTGCGATGTCTGGAAACAAGCTATATGGCTGTAATGTGGTTTGCCTAGAAAAGTACCCTGAACATTTATTGCCACTCCAGTTACATAAGCGGAAGCATCTGTCTCTTATAATGAGGATATTAAATGGTAGGAGGAATTTAAGAGCAAAATTACTGCCAAATTTGAGTCCAAAGGATCTACAACAGGAGACCCTCATCTCTTTTCATGCGTGTCTAAAGTGCTGTCAAGTCACAGCTGACTTATGGTGTCTCCACAGGGTTTCAAGGTAAGAAACTAACAGAGGTGGTTGGCCATCACCTTCCTCTGCAGAGCGACCCTGGTACTCCTTGGTGGTCTCCCATCTAAATATAACCCCCCACCCACCCCCCCCCGGGCCAGCCCTTCTTAGCTTCTGACATCTGACGAGACTGGGCTAGCC